CTGCTTTGCTATTTTGTTCTCTGGAGGCTTTAATAAATCACAAACAATATATCACCACAGGATTCAGTCTGGTGGCAGTTCTTTTTGTAAGATTTATTTATTTTGCCGGGCGTCGGTGGCGCATGCCTTTAATCCCAGCACTCGGGAGGCAGAGGCAGGAGGATCTCTGTGAGTTCCAGACCAGCCTGTTCTACCGAGCGAGTTCCAGGACAGAGTCCAAAACAATACAGAGAAACCCTGTCTCGAAAAACCAAAAAAAATTATTTTATTTTATTTTTCTATAAGTATGAGTATTTTTGCCTTCACATATGTATGTGTACCATGTGTGTGCCTAGGTCAGAAGAGGACTTTGGTTGGGTCCCCCGGGACTGGAGTTACAGATGTTCTTGAGCCGCCATGTGGGTTCTGGGAATGGAACTTGGTCCTCTGGAAGAGCAACAAGTGCTGTGAATCAATAACTCCATGCCCTGAGTAGAATTCTCACAGGCAAAAAGTGTGTTCAGTGAAAGACACAAATCCCAAGTATGCAATGCAACAGATTCAGTGCAGTAGTACCTCCTAAGGTCCTGGACATTTATTCTAAGTCTCTTTTTGTTGTCCTTGTTAAGATTTATTTACTCTGTATATAGTGTTCTGCCTGCATGTAACACTCAGTGTAGTAGTACCTCCTAAGGTCCTGGACATTTATTCTAAGTCTCTTTTTGTTGTCCTTGTTAAAGATTTATTTACTCTGTATACAGTGTTCTGCCTGCACGTAACACCTACAGGGCACCAGATCTCGTTGTAGAAGGCTATGAGCCACCATGTGGTTGCTGGGAATTGAACTCAGGGTCTCTGGAAAAGCAGCCAGTGCTCTTAACCACTGAGCCATCTCTCCAGCCCTTGGGTCTCAGTCCCCTCCCCGCCCCCAAAGCCCCATCAGTGTTTCTGCCTCGTCACCCTACCTCGTCAGAGACAGCCAGTGCTCCAGTGCCTTGCCTGGTCTGTAACAGGGCCTGGCTGCCTGCCTTCCAGCGGGCCTCCTCCCACCCCAACCCCTGGGACTGGCCTTCGGCTTTCTTCTGTGGCTTCTCTGAGTTTCTTTCTCAGTTCTGTTCTGAATGCTTTTCCCAACCAGGTGTCACCATGAGGCTCGATGTGGAATTGACCCTCACAAGCTTGATGCTGGTTGATTCCCACACATCCACATTGTGCAGACTTTGAATCCTCTCCCCCAAATCTTTGGTCTGGAATGTGCTTCCAGGAGAAGGCAGTTTACAGTGGTGTTCCTTGAGGAGCACAGCTCTTCAGATGGGGCAGTGCTGTCCTTTGAGGCTCTGCTAAATCCTTGGTCCTAACTTTTATTTTTAAGACAGGATCTCACTGTGCAGCTCTCTGGGCTCCAACTACAGAGATCCTCCTGCCTCTGCCTCTCTAGTGCTGGGAGTAAAGGCATGTGCCACCATACCTAGCATAATTCTTTTAATAATTAAAAATAAGCCAGGCGTTAGTGGCATGCCTTTAGTCCCAGCACTTGGGAGGCAGAGGCAGGCAGATCTCTGTGAGTTCGAGGCCAGCCTGGTGATGTACAGAGCGAGTTCCAGGACAGCCTCCAAAACTGTATAATACAGAGAAACCCTGTCTGGAAAAACAAAAAACAAACAAAAAAATTAAAAATAAAATTAGGAGTCTCTGTGAGTTTGAGGGTAGCCTGGTCTACAAAGCAAGTCTCTGGACAGCCAGGGTTATTTTCCAGAGAAACCCTGTCTCTAAAAACCAAAACCAAACCACAACAAACAAATCAGGTGGTGGTGCATTCGTTTAATTCCAGTACTCAGGAGGCAGAGACAGGCCTGGTTTTTGGTTTCTCTGTAGCCCTGGCTGTCCTGGAACTCGATTTGTAGACCAGGAGAAGACAGGTTACAGTGACATTCCTTAAAGAACACAGCATATGAGATATTAGATACCACCATGGTTTTTTTTTCCAAAGTGTGCCTTAAAGATTCTCCTTCCCCTCTTCTCCCCTCCCTCAGCTACTCCTGACCCACCCCACTTGTAGCCCTTTCCTGACGACCCCTTCCCTCCCTCCTGTCCCTCGGGCCCTCTCACCCACTCCTGTCCATCTTCAGCACCTATTTCACCCCTCTTGATCTCCTTTCTAATTCCTCAAGCCTAACTCTTTCAACTTTTTTCCTCCTCTCCCTTTTCTTTTTTTTAAAAATGAATTCATTTTTTAAATTTATTAGTTTTCGTTTTATATGCATTGGTGCTTTGCCATGGGTGTTAAATCCCCTGGAACTGGAGTTACAGACAGTTGTGAGCTGCCATGTGGGTGCTGGGAATTGAACCCAGGTCCTCTGAAAGAGCAGTCAGTGCTTTTAACCACTGAGCCATCTCTCCAGCCCCCTCTCCCTTTTCTAGTTTCAAAACAGCATCTCATGCAGCCCACAGTGGCTTTGAACTTGCTACGCGTAGCCAAATCTGGCTCCGCTCTCCTGATCCTCTGGCTGTGTCTCCTGGGTGCTGGGAACCCCGAGGAGCACCACAGCTGTCTCACTTGATGGTCCCCTGACTGCGGAGCTGGTGACATTCTCACAAGGGTGCCTTGTGAGCTTGACTGTGACAGGCCGGATCTGTCACAGGAGCGTTTAGTAAATGTGAAACCACTCAGCCTACCACGAGGACTTGGCAAGTGGCCGGAGTGGAGGGAACAAGCAAGAGAGGCGAACAGGCCCCTAAGCCCACAGCAAACACCTATGAATGACTCCCTTTAAGACAGCCTGGAAGGGACTCTGGAGGGTGGGAGCCAAGGCAGGGCCCCGGGAACCAGGAAGTCACACCCGCGTTAATATTTAGAAAGCTGTGGGGTTGTAACAGCTCACTCTCCGTGTAGCTCAGCCATGTGAACATCTGAATAGGCTCTTTGACACAGCCACACCCGGCTCTGGTCCTCGCCGGGACCCTTAGTAACACTTCCGTGCTTTGCCTGTGTCTTCCGTGTATGTGGATTTCCCCCACAACAACAGGTAGTGTTGTGTATCTTTCTGTCATCCTCCTGCCTCAGCTCCGGCTCCCTTTCCAGTGCAGAGGTGTGCAGTCGGTACGGCTCCCTTTCCAGTGCAGTGGTGTGCAGTCGGTACTTGGAGTTTGAACTGAATCTCCCTGGCCACTCCGATGAAGCCTTATTTTACCGTGCATGCAGTCCTTTGGGCAGACTTCTTTTCCTCCCTGCTTTCTTGCCTTCCCTCCACAGATGCCTGTTTCGTTTGTTTCCATTGGTCTGACAGCCAATCAGCTCCAGGACCTTCCATACAGCCTTAGAGAGGATGTGGGCCTTTTGCTGGACTCCCCAGTGCCAACCTCCCTGAGCTTGCTGCTTTTGCCCAGTGGCAAGACCGGTCGGCAAGTAACGGGTGACTCTGTAGGGCCGTCTTTCCGTGCCAGGATTTTGCTCCAACCTCAAATCTTTCAGTGGTCCAGGAGCCCCGCTAGGTAGGTTCTGTTCTGCTTGCCTCCCACTGCAACTGTTCCAGCCCCTGCAACTCCTACCTGGATTGCTTCAACACCTGCGTCCTGATGAGTCTACCTGCTGCTGGCTGTGGTAAAATGTATTGGCCATTATGTCAGATTCATGGTTAGCTTCCTACCTAGGCCACCACCTGATACAATAGTCTTCTAGGGACAGAGGCGAGAACAAGGCCAGGGAAACAGACCGTGATCAACTCCAGTAGAGCACCACCCACATGAGCTGGGTGAGTTGCTGCTGAATTTGGGCGTGTCTCATTTACATCTAGGTCCTTCTCCACCTTGACTTTAATTACACTTGAATGTTCACAGACACACACACACACACACACACACACACACAAGCATGTACATGCATGAGCATGCACAAATAAATTTAAAACATTAAAAATAGCCTAGTGGTGATGACACAGGTTTTTAATCCCAGCACTCCGGAGGCAGAGGCAGGCAGATCTCTGAATTCAAGGCCAGTCTGGGCTAGAGTGAGTTCTGGGACAGTCAAGGTTACACAGAGAAACCCTGCCTTGAACTCCTCCTCCAAATTAAAAATGACTGGTTGACTAAGATGTAGCCATCAAGATCATTCATTCATTTGTTCACTTGCCCAGGGCAACAGGAGAGCAACACTGAGCTTCCTGCAGCCTGGATGCTTTCTCCATCCCCCTTCTGTTTCCCTGGAAACGCCACCTGATCCAGTCAGTTGGAGTTCTAAGAATCTGTCTGGTCTGGGAGCTGTCTGATTCATGAATTCTTTGGTTTTTGCCTGTTCAGAGAACTCTACCAGATTCAACTGGTCTAAGCAATTTTCCTTTTTAAGACTTTGGGGCTGGGCCAGGCGGTGGTAGTGCATGCCTTTAGTCCCAGTACTCAGGAGGCAGAGGCAGGTGGATGCCTGTGAGTGTGAGGCCACCTGGTCTACAGAGTGAGTTCCAAAGCTACATTGAGAAACCCTGTCTCAAAAAACAAAACAAACAAACAAAAAAGACTTTGGGGCTGTAGATTGCTCCATGCCTCCTAGACGGGCTCACAACCTCTGTAACTCCAGTTCTAGGGTCTCCAAACACATACACATGAAAAAAATAAAAACAAGTCATTTACACAGCTGCAAAGCTGCAGCTCTGGATTAGCAGGCAGGAAGGTGCAGTCGCAGGAAGGTGCAGTCGCCTGTGCGCGCATGGCTGCAGTACCCTCGGTCCTGTGGCGGTTGTCAGTCTTGACAATGTATCCTTTTCTAATCTATGCTTCTCTGTGAATAAGTAATCTTGCTACTTCTGCAAATCTGACCAGCTGCAACACAGCCACAAGGCACGTGATCTCTTGGAGTGGATTGTGGTGTCCACCTGGGTTAGACAAACTTAACCACATCTAGGATTTGAGATTTCTGCATCTGGGATTCCAGCTACTCTCATGAATTAGAATTGATAGAATCTGCACTTTTCCTGGAAAAAACGGATGGCACAATTTGGAATTACAGTGACCACAGAGTGGAAGGAAGCTTTGGCTTTCGATGATGTCTATTTGTGGGGTTCACTGGAAAAGGAAGGTGCAAGTTACAGCAGCCCTTTAAAGCAGAAGAGGCAAAAATATTTGTGTCTATGTAACAAGCTCTCCTCAGACACTTCTGCCTACGTAGGCTTGCGTAAGCTCTCATGTAGCAGACGCTGGTGTTGGACTTGTGATCTGACCACCACACCAACAGCATGGATAACAAGGCTTCAGATGCAGGGCAGATCTGTGTAGAGGAAACATTAACAGAATCATTGTATCTAGGATAAACATCTGAATGAACAGTTGTTTTCTAGAAGAATTTAGACCTTGAAGAAATCATTGTGGAAAACAGTGATTGTTTGGTGTTATCTACGGAGTCCGTTTTCTGAAAGAGCGTTACAGCCTTTGTATGCTTTGGTCACAAGATGGTCCTGGCACACCTGGATGTCTTGAATAATTGGTTACTGCAAACTGTACACAATAAGGACTGAAGTTACAGGCTTGTGATGTTTCCCTTCAGAGAACATACAGATTACATCAGGGGCTTTGGTATGAAGACTTGTTTTACCCCCAAACCAACTTTTATGTAACAATCAATAAACAGACTTTTGCTCAGCAGTCTGTCCCTGCTGCCAGAGAGTCTAAAATTCATCTTGGAGTGACCCTCTTTCTTCAACTGACCCACACAGCACAGAACGCCTGACAGGTCTGTAGAGAAGGGTGGGGAGAGCTGGGCACAGACACGCAATCCCGGGCCCTAGCAATCAGGAAGATGGCTGTGGATTCAGAGTTAGCCTGGGCTGTGTGGTGAGACTTGTTTCACAAAAGCAAAAATGAACCTGAGCTAGAGAGAGAGAGAGAGAGAGAGAGAGAGAGAGAGAGAGAGAGAGAGAGAGAGAGATGATGGTGATGATGAACAGAGGTCACTTCCTAAATTCTGGACATTCTCCCTCCATGGAATCATTATCCAAAATGCAACTATTAAATAAAAATTGTGTAGTGCTGGAGATAGCTCACTGGTTAAGAGCACTTACTGGTCTTCCAGAGGACCTGAGTTCAGTTCCCAGCACCCACATCTGATGGTTCACAACTGTCAGCTCCAAGAGGATCCCATGCCTATTGCCTCCAACCTCCGCAGGCACCTGCATTCATGAGCACACACATACATGTAATTTAAATAATGAAAATAAATCTTAGTTGTGTAGGGTTGGAGATGTAGCTCAGTTGGTAAAATGTTTCCCTACCATGAATGAAATGTTGGATTCAGTCTCAAGCATCACATAAAAGCTAAGTTACGGAGCATCACATGGGAGCTACAAGCAGGAGGACCAGAAGTTCAAGGTCATCCTCAGATACTTAGCAAGTTTAAAGACAGTCCGGACAACGTGAGATTCTGCCTCCAAAATAGAAATAACTCCCCATCCCTTGTTTTTTTTTCAAGACCGGGTTTCTCTGCATAACAGCCCTGGCTGTCCTGGAACTCACTTTTTAGACCAAGCTGCCCTTGAGTCTGCCTCCCAAGTGATGGGATTAAAGGTGAATGCCACCACACTGGGCAATATATATATTTTAAATTATGGGACTAGGTGCCTATAGTGGTTCAAATGAACCAACCAGCCTAGACTTTAATCACAATAGTGGGCTTTTGTTGGTTATAAGACACCTAGTAGCCAATGCACTAAAGAACTCTTTGACACCTAACTAAGCTGTGCAGTGTTAAGGTGTTCCTGTGCTCTGCTGTCTATGGATGCTGCACGATCTGGTTATTGGTTGGAGACCTCAGAACTGGTTCTGCTTGTGGGACTTGCCTGATCCTGAGCTCTTCTCTGCTCAGATAAGCTTCACTAGAGTGCACTGGGTGAAGGACTGTTCCTTTCAGCTCCAGCATAATATGCTTTTGTCCTGTAATACTCTTCCAGCCAGGGTGGTGTTGCAAGAAGCCCCACTTGCTAATGAATAGCAGGTGCGGGGAAAGGAAGTCTGGGTCTGTTTTTGCTCACTAGCAACACCTGCTTCTCTTTTTGGTACAGGGAATCTAACCGAGGGCCTCACAAATACTAGGTAAGTACCCCCAAGTTATACCTGTGGCTTATTTTTTTTAAAGACAAGGTCTCATTAAGTTACCTAAGCAGGGCTTGATGTTGAAATATTTCTGTCTCAGACTCCTGAGTAGCTGAGATTACATGCTTGCACCAGGCCTGGTTGGGTATGAACTCTTAAAATAATAATAATTATTATGATTACAGTTGCGTGTGAGAGGATGTACGTGTGGTTGTCAGAAGACCACTTTGTAAGCCGGTTCTCTCCTTCCACCTCTACTTGAGTTCTGGGGTAGAACAAAGGTCGCCGGACTTGCTCAGCCCGCACCTATACCCCCTGGGCCCTCTCACTGGTCCAAGCTGTAGACTTTTGAGCAGCTTCAGTTCCAGTTGTTCACCCCGCTCCCGTCAGGGTGCTCCGTCTGCACCTTCGGGGTGGAAGGGTTAGTTAGGACTTTATTGTCAGCATCCACATAAAGAGCTGCCCATGGGAGCCCGTGCCTGAAACCCCAGAGTGGGAGGGGACGCTGGTGGATCTCTGGAGTTCTCTGGCCAGCCTGCCTGATCAGTTGATGAGCTCCTGTCTCAGTGAGAGATCCCAGAAGATGGGAACCAAAAATTAAAAAGAAAAAGAAAGATGAGGGCCTGGAGAGACAGCTCAGTGGTTAAGAGCACTGGCTGCTCTTCCAGAGGACTTGTATCCAATTCCCAGCACCCACATGGCAGCTCACAAGTCTGTAACTCCAGTCCTAAGGAATGTGATGCCGCCTTCTGAGCTCCTTGGGCACACACACACACACACAGACACACACACACACACACACACACACACACAGGCAAATCACTCAAACATTGAAAAAATCTATAAAAGGAAATACACAAACAAAAATGAGGGAGAACAAAATAAACAAAAATAGCTGGGTGTGGTGATGCACACCTTTAATCCCAGCACTGAGGCAGAGGCAGGTGAATCTCATATGTGTAACATAGGAGCAGAAACATGCCTAGGTGTGCTGTCTGGTGAATTTTATATAAAGTAAACACACATGTTACTCAGTTTGAGTAGTAAGTAGGGCTTTAGTTGTAACCCCGAAGTTTTCCTCATGCTCCCACCCCATTCCCAGTTACTAGTCCTGGCTTCCCAGACATTACATTCATCTCGCTTGTTTCTGAGTGTCATTTCTGATGGTTGACACTGTTCACCTATTTATGTATGGTTATATAAATGTCCCACCGTTACCCATTCCCTGTTGTCTGAGTTTGGGTTGCTTCCAGATTGGCCTGTTACAAACCGCACTGCTGGCCTGGCGTTCGTGGCACACAACTTTAATCCCAGCACTCGGGAGGCAGAGGCAGGCGGATCTGTGAGATCGAGGCCAGCCTGGTCTAGAGTACAAGTACCACGACAGCCAGGACTACACAGAGAAACCAACTCTGTCTCAACAAATAAAACCCAAACGAACAAACAAAAACAAATTACACCGCTGTGGGTATGTAGTGTGCTCGTCTTTGGCATTGCATGCATGCTGGGCACAATAAAAAAAAAGTTCTCGCTCCCAATGCATACATGCATTCATCACTAATGGACACTGGAGACAGCCACTAAGACAGTGAGAGTCTATTCTTGAAAAGGGAAAGAACACGGAACCAGCATCAGGCCCCAGATTTTTTGGTCACCTCCCAGGTTTTGCTCACAGGAAGCCAAAGCAAACCACTTACCCTCTGTGCTTCCTCAGCTGTAAACTGGAAGTAATAAATGCCTTGTTCCCTGGCTCCGTGATGGGAGAGCCCTCTGCAAACACTCGCAGAGCACACATGTGAGCTGTTATTAAAGTGGAAGCTTTAAATTATCAATGAGAACTGAGGGGCTGCTGTACTTATGTGGGTTTCCATTTCTAATTAAGAACCCAGATCAGATGCAGCCGCTCTGCTAAGCACAGCTGCTTTGCCAGGCACCACCGAAGGATTCCCAAACATACCCGAGCCCCGGCTGGGCGGTTCCTCTAAGTTTCTTCTTTCAGTTGCTGGATACTCCTGCTTTCTACTTTCCTCCAGCGCCAGCACGAGTATGGCTGGTCTGGAAAAACCACCTGGCTGGGGTCTGCCTGGTTGGACCAACCATATCTCTCTGGGGAAGCCACAGAGCAGAGTCGGTGCAGGCCTTTTACGCACTATTAACACAGTGACTCAATATCGCCAATCTGGATGGTGCAGTGGGGAAATACCAAAGGTTATGTGGTGCACTCAATCAAGAGCAGTAAAAAGTAATTGACTGAAAGTATCATCCATGTCTCTGGGCATGTTGGCTCCCGGGAGGACAGTTGCACAAGCAGGAAACAGCACCCTCTTCTGGCCAGTGTCACACTTGCACGGCTGTGACGGATTTCCAACTGACTGGGCTGATTGGCTTTTCCCTTGGGGAGCCCCATCCTGAGTTATTATCAGTCTTGAATAAATAATTTTTTGTTTCCTTCTGCCTTTTGCTCTTTAAAGAAGAAAACCCAGCCAGGCGGTGTTGGTGCTCCCCTTTAGTCCCAGCACTAGGGAGGCTGAGGCAGGTGGATCTCCATGAGCCTGGTCTACCTAGTGAAGGACAGGCTCCAAAGCCACACAAAGAAACCCCGTCTTGGACCTAGCATTGGTGGGGCATGACTTTAATCCCAGCACTCGAGAGACAGAAGCAGGCGGGTCTCTGTGAGTTCGAGACCAGCCTGGTCTACAAGAGCTAGTTCCAGGACAGCCTCCAAAGCCACAGAGAAACCCTGTCTCGAAAAACAAAAAACAAAACAAAACAAAACAACAACAAAACCCTGTCTTGAAATGCCAAAAGAAGAAGACGAAGAAAAAGAAGAAAAAGAAGAAAGAAAGAAAACTCTTGATGGATAATTAATGAATCAACATGGATAGGCAAATGGTGTGTCCAGTTGTTTGATCAAACACATCTATCCATTACTGTGAAGATATTTTATCTTAATTAATTGGCTTCCACTATTCACTTTCATACAATACCAGTCTATTGTAAACTAAAGTGATCCATTTCCTTATGATAAAAAAGAATCGCAGGGCTGAAGAGATGGCTCAGCAGTTAAGAATACTGGCTGGTCTTCCAGAGGTCCTGAGTTCAATTCTCAGCGCCCACATGCTGGCTCACAACCATCTATAATAAAATCTGATGCCTTCTTCTGGCATGTGGGTATCCGTGCATAGTACCTATACATAAAATGTAAGTATATAAAATTTAAAATAAAAAGGAATTACAACTATAGCTACATACCTTAAATTGAAACAAAATGCATTCATTAAGGTGGTTTTTATTGATGGTTGTTGTTGTTTGACACAGGGTCCCAAGTAGCTGAGGATAACCATGGACTCCTGGTTCTCTTACCACCTCCTCCCCAGTACTGGAACTGTAAGCGCGCCCCACCGTGACCAGTTTTAAAGATGGAATTGTCCATTGTGGAAAAACAAAACAAAACAAAAAAATGGCAGCAATCACACACACTCCCCGAGAGACCAAAGCCTTGGGCTCTGCACACCCTACCTGCCGCACACAAAGGAAAAGCTGGAGGGGGAATCCAAAGGCTGTGAAGAGAGAAAAGACGGAAGTAATCCTCAAGGATTGTCCTCAAGGTCGTCTGCTAACCCTGCCCTCCAGGGCCAGAGCCCACGCCTGAAAAGTCCCCTGCAAAGAAAGCAGTGAAGTCGTCTCAGGACGGAGAGCGCTAGGCCGACGGAGAGTGCAAGGCGGACACCGACAGAGATGCAGTGGCCCTGCCCCACACGCAGATGCCAACGGGGCAGGCCCCAGGACGGAAGGTGCTGCCCATGTCCGGTGGGGTGTGTGCTTTTAAGGAAGTGCACATTTCTGGCACCTATGCAGTTTTTTCCCAAATTGGATTTCATTTTACTTCCCCCCTAAACTATGCTATGTTGTCAGCATGCAGGACACATCCTGGTATTTATTTACCGATTCGTTCGTTCATTCATTATTTATTTGTTTATTTACAGTCGTTCCAGTGTTGGCTGTCTTGTAATTTTCTATGTAGACCAGGCTGGCCTTGAATTTACAGAGATCCGCCTGCCTCTGCCTCCAGAGTGCTGGGATTAAAGGCGTGCGCCACCAAGCCAGGCCACCTCTGCGGGTTTTAGTGGAGAGGGAGCAGGTGCCACTAAAATGTTTCCCAAATGAATTGGGAGGTTGGAGGAGGTGCCTTCCCTCGCTAGTTCTGAGATCGCCTTGCCTCTCAGAAAGAATTCCCTGATGGCACAGTCTGTCACAATAACCCAAACACCTTATGGTCTGGGAAAACTCAGATTCATTTCTGTGTCCTGACCCTCAACTCCCTTAAAACCTGTTGGACTTTGGGGTAATTTAAATAAGAATGACCTCCATGCCAGGCAGTGGTGGTGCACACCTTTAATCCCAGCTCTCCGGAGACACAGGCAGGTGTGTCTCTGTGAGTTCGAGCCCAGCCTGGTCAACAGATTGGACAGTCAAGGGTACACAGCAAGACTCTGTCCCCAAAAAACAACAACAACAAAAAAAATAAAGAGCAACGAAAAAGAACGGCCTCCATAGGCTCATGCATTTGAACCTTAGTCATCAGGGTGGAACAATTTGAGAAGGATTAGGAGGTGTGGTTTGTGAAGGAGGTGTGTCACTGGGGGATGGGCTTTGAGGTTTCAAAAGCCCACATCAGGCCCAGTCTCTTTTTTTTTTCAGGCCCAGTCTCTTTCTCTACTTCTGATTAGGATCAGTGCTTAGCTACTTCTCCAGCACCACACCTGCCTGCCGCCATATTCCCTGCCATGATGATAATGGACTAAGCCTTTGAAACTATTAGCAAGCCCTAATTAAATGCATTTTTATAAGGCATTCATAATATATATATGTATATATATATATATGTATATGTATATATGCGCCTTGGTCATAGTGTCTCTTCATAGCAACAGAACAGCAACTAAGACAGATCTGATTTTCTAAATCTGGTCGGGGAAAGGGACCAGACTTTCAACATGACATCACGGAGATGACATGTCTCAGAAGAGCCGCCAATGGATTTTCAGAAGGATAACTGTTATTTGCATTTGATTTCCTTAAAGTCAAGGTAGGCTTGTAAAATGCTGTATAGCATGCTTACTCTAAACAGATCACCGAATGAGGACTTAGTGGATTCTGTAGTGGATTCCTGATGTTAGCCGTCTACACATGACAGTCATTTGAAGGTTGCATGTCGTTGAAGTCTTCCTTGAAAAGGCATCAGGAAAACCAATGAAGTCAGGTTGAGTTTGGAGCAATATTTAAGTCAGTACATAGACTTTGAGTCCGGCATATTGCCCTTTGTAATGAAGGTGGGTTCGCCTCATCCAATCAGTTGAAGGCCTTAGGCCCAAAGCTTGAGGCTTCCTGAAGCAGAATTGTCTTTGCCTATGACCAAAGCAACTTGGGGAGGAAAGGGTTTATTTGGCTCATGCTTCCACATCACAGTCTATCATCAGAGGAAGTGAGGACAGGAACTCAAGCAGGGCAGGAGTTACAGGCCCCACTGTACATGTGGGCTGTGTACTGATCCCAGGCCCTCTGCAAGAGCAAGTACCCCCTGAGCCAACTCTCCAAATACTCCTATGTGCGTGTGTGTGTGTGTGTGTGTGTGTGTGTGTTGTGTGTGTGTCTGCATCTAATTAGGGTTGCTTGCATAAGCATGGGTTGGGACTATTTGCTTGAGCAGTGATACGTCAACAGCAACACCACTGAGATACATGACTTCTATGCTCCCTGAAATCTAGACCAATAAATGCTAATATATATTCCCTACTAAAATTTATCATACATTGCCTATTGAGCAAAAATATCAGGAAAAGAATGGGCATCTATTGGGTTCAGACAGATTCAACATGGGCTTCCAAATCTTTTTCTGGCAAGTCACACAGGAATCTTTCTTGCAATGGTCTACAGAGACAGATGTGAAAAGTCTTTTGCCCGTGGAAGTCTGCTGAAGTCTCATTCACAGTCTAAGGTTGCTAAGAAGGGAGCTACATAGGCAATCTGCTGTGCACCCAGCCATGGCAACTAAACTTGGGCCTCTCCTGATGAGGTCAGGTGTCTATCATGAGCCTTGATGTTTTCAGAAAGCAAGCCTGACTAACTACTTTAACATATAGCCACCTGTCCCGTGCTACCGTCTCGCCAGCAAGAACGACGCAGGACAATTGGATCCTTCTGCAGTAAAGCTTTAATGCATCTTGAGAGATAGATGTCTGCACAGTGGCGGAAAGTGCAAGGGCCGAGGCGGTAACCGAAGCAGTAACCGCGGCGGCGGCTATCAGGCCCACAATAATAGCAGAGATCCCAAAAATCTCGCTTTTCCCTAAACAAACTCAAACTACTTGGCACCTCAACAGGAACTGGAACAAATCGAGGCATGCACATTACCAAAGCAAAAGGGTGCTTAATAGCATCCCAGCATAATGCATAAAAACAATTCTAAGCAGAGCAATTTATTTCTTTCTGATTCTTACCTAAGGTATCATTACTCACAACCCAAATAAAGGGCAGCCAAACACAAATTGGAGCAGCTGAATAATTAGTTCTCTTAAAAGGGGTATACTTAACATTGGAGGAGGACCAATCAGATGATCCAGAGCTCTGTCCCTCACTCAGACTGTTGCCTAATGCCCCTTTCCAATCAAAAGTAATCTGTCCATTCTCACTATATCCTCCAGCAATCATTGCCATAGGAGAAAGATCAGTACAGCTTCCACTAATTCAAAAGGATTAGCACTAGATCTTTCTGGATCCATATGAATAAAATTATCCTTTAATGAAGAAATCACAGTAAAGCACAAGCTTCCTACCAATGACAAGGTTCTCTCATCCTGAAAACTCTGTATCTGAGGATCTAAAGGCAAAAAGGCAAGCCCCAACTCTCTATTAGTTGTGAAAAATCTAGGGAACTCCTGGGCATTATGCATCACTGGCATCGGTAGGGGGAAGGTAGACATGATGGCCCACCGTAACTCTCCCATCATACTAGGAACCATCATCCCGAGTAGGAGAGTCTTCATCACCCACTTGGCCTCCATCCTTCTTATTCTGGAGTTGTGAAGGAGCTCTTCGAGTGAGTCTTTCAGGGATCCACAGGGGGTTTTCTTCCTCCTGTGGAAAAACACACACAGCTCCCCTGGATCTTATAAGAATAGGATCCGGGCCTTTCCAGAGATCAGTCAAGACATCTTTCCATTTTACCATTTCTTTTGGCCTATCAGGCTCTAAACTGTGGCGATCGGCTGCAGTGTGGCCTTGGGCATCAGAGTTCAAGAAATTAAGGGTAAAAAGTGCCATGGACACAGCAACTCTTGGTACCGAGGGTAGAACATCCTCAATACTCCCCTTTTGTTTAATCAGATATGATTTGAGTGTACGATGGGCATGTTCCACAATGCCCTGTCCTTGAGGGTTATAAGGTAGGCCAGTTAGATGGGTAACATCCATTTGCCGACAAAACTGTCGGAATTTTTGAGAGGTATATGCTGGTCCATTGTCTGTTTTTAAAATTCTGGGTTTTCCCCAAGCACTCCAGGCCTCAAGGCAATGTTGAATCACATATGAGGCCTTTTCCCCTGTTAGGGGCGTGGCAAACATTACGCCAGAACAGGTGTCAACAGAAACATGAACATATTGAAGCCTTCCAAAAGAGGGAATATGAATAACATCCATCTGCCACATCTGCAATGGTCTAATGCCACGTGGGTTTATTCCCACGTGGGGAGCAGGTAAGAATTCGCAGCAATTCTGGCATTGAGTAACAATTTCCCTAGCCTCTTTCCTGGGTAGAGCAAAATGATGGCGCAAGGTCTCAGCCGTCACATGAAAGCGCTGATGGAACTCTTTTGCTGCTTGTGCGTGGGTAGACAAGGCAGCGGCCACCAGCTTTGTAGCCTTGTCCGCTAAGTCATTCCCTAAGGACATGGGACCTGGGAGTCCAGAATGTGCTCGGACATGGGTAATGAAAACAGGAAATCTCCTATTTAACAAGGCAGCTTGTATCTTCTGAAAGATGTTCGCAACTCTGCTGGAGGATCTTATTATTCCAGCTATCTCAAGGAGATTAACTGCATTAACCACATAAGAGGAATCTGATACAATATTGAAGGGTCCTGGAAAAGCCTCAAGAACCTCCTGTACTATCAGACATTCTACAACTTGAGGTGAAGTTTCATTATATTGTTTAGATATAACCCTATCCTTGACCACATAAGCTCCCATACCAGTTTTCGATCCATCAGTGTACACCACAGTCCCATCTGGGAGTGGGTCTTTAGCTGTCACTTGTGGAAACACTATAGCCTGGTTTAGGGCAAACTGTAAAATTGGATGCTTTGGAAAATGATTATCAATTTGTCCTGAAAAGGAAGTAACTAAAACTGCCCAATCACTAGATGTGGCTGCCAAGGTCTGAACTTGTGCAGCAGTATAAGGCACAATCAAGGAATCAGGATCCCTGCCAAAATGCGTAACAGCTGCTTTTATTCCGCGAAGCGCGAGCTGTGCAACAGCATCAGGGTACCAGTCAATAATCTTAGCAGGGGAAGCATTTGGATGAATCCAAAGTAATGGTCCATGTTGCCACAGGACTGCAGTTGGCAATTGAGCTGTCTTAAAAACACACAGATTAAAAGGTAGTGACTCCTCAATACGTTGTAATTGTGCTTCCTGTAAGGCCTCTTCCACCATCTGTAAGGCTCGGTGGGCGGCAGGGGTAAATTTTCTGGGTGAGGAGATATGAGGCTCACCCTCCAGGAGATCGAAGAGGGGTTTTAGATCAGCAGATGGAATTTTTAAAAAGGGCCTCAACCAATTTATATCTCCCAGAAGTTTCTGAAAATCATTTAATGTTTGTAAGTGGTCTTTGCGAATTTCTATTTTCTGAGGAACTATATTTTTGGGAGTAATCATTGAGCCCAAAAAGAGGCCTGTATCTGCAATTTGAACCTTTTCTGAGGCAAT